CAGGAACTAGTCATCCTCCTCTAAACTGTCCTGCATGCATCCAACAATCCAGAGTTTCATTAACAGTTATTAATGAAGTAACATTTCTAGTAATAAACTACTGTTGAACAATTTCTCCTATGTTGGGCATAAGCAAGGTTTTTTTCAGGTCATCTGTGAGGTGTATCTTGCTTGCTATTTTATGTTGGACTTTTGCAGTATATATAATAGAAATACAGTTGAGAATTCAATTTCATTTGTGCTTGATTTTTTTCCATTGTTCCCTGGTGTACTGGATTATATCCCAAGGGCTAAATTAACCTATTGTAATTCTATGTAGTCAGTATAGCTACAGCTGGAATAAATTTTGCACCACACATTTGTTTTGGGGAGCATTTTTTAAAATACGAACCTTCCTTTCAGATTACAGTACCAAAGAGGTAATCGTGACTCTCAGAACCTGCATGAATTTCTGAGGACCTATTTATTTTTCCTCAGTTTGGTGTGGGAATAGCCAATAGGAATATCTGACTAGAGCTGTCTGGAAAGTGGAAATCCCTTCGTATAAAAAAAATGTCATGTCTTTTAAAATATTACATCCTAATTTGTAACAAAATGTCACAAATGAGAAGAAGAAGAGAGATTTTTTTTGGCTTGCCAACTGCCTGCCTCGAAGCATCTTGTCAATTTTATTCTCTCCCCGCAGGCTCTTCTGTAGCCAGGAACGGAATTGTGTCTGTTAGAGAAAAAAAAAACAAGCGACCCAGGAGCAGATGGGGTGAACGGAAGTGCTTTATTGCATACACACGTTTACCTCAGACATTCAACACAAGGTCCGAGTAGCAACAAATTGGCAACAATTACAACCTTTAATCTGTTTTAGTATGTTAATTCACACGTCTATCACTACTTTCCCTAAAACCTTATTTAGTAATCTTAACTCCTACACAATGAATATTAATAAGTAGGTGATGAATACAATTATACCCACCCCTGTATGTTGTTTACTGGTTTTTAATTGAATCAGCATTACATATTGTCTTAATCAGCAGTTTATAGGGTGGGGAAAGCACTTCAACCCTGAAAATGTCTTTTACAGACATGTGCAAAGACAAAACAAGACACTGTTCAGTGCAACCGTCTTCCAGGGCTGCCAGGACAAAGGGGAAAAACATGTTTAAAGGTCAATGCAATGCCTATTCTGGCTAGACCCCACCCTCTGATGTATAGTTTTCCCAGACCCCTACTAATTTTTACATATCCCAACAATGTTGATTGCAAATTCCCCATGGGTTCTACATCTGACATAAAGTGGGCAAGAACATTTTACTAAGTGGCAAGATTTAGGAACATCAGGTTGAACAAAGTCAAGTAAATTAATAAATAATTCAAATGAGCTTCAAGTCTTGCATGGTTAAAAAGAAATTATCAGGTGCATATCTGAAAGCCATGTTCAAAAACATAATCACAAAAATCCTGACAAAGTGCAACTGCACAGCTATGTACTTGAATCTTGTAAATACTGGATAAGCCTAGAAGATCGGCTATTCTAGAAGCCAAAATAGAGGTCTAGATTCACCACTGTCTTTTGCCTTATGTGACCATTTACATCTGTGAAAATCTGTATAAAATACTGCCAATCTGACCTAGTTTAAAGAAATATTCTCAGTACCAAGGCACAGGAGTACCAAGATTGGTAACCTAGATATTGGAATTATTTTAATAAAGAGTGGGGAAAATATTTCAGACCCCCCTCAACTCCACTGTCTCATCTGGAAGCAGCTCAGATACAAGTCGTACCTATTGGCATATCTGGAGAAAGTGGTATTCCTAATTGCATTCATTTTAACAGCTGTTCAGAGTACTCTGAGCTGAATATCACTCAGCAAGAGAGTATTGCTTTGCCATGATGCCTCCTAAAAACTACCATCTGGCAGTGGTCAGTAGAGCCCTGTGCCGATACAAAATTTGTATATGCATCTGTATCCACAAAAATGAGCTGTGAATATCTATATTGACATCTACAGATGTGGATATCCATGGATATAAATCATATATCCACACATTTGCAGGGTTCTACATACAAAATTCGTACTCACATCCATATCTGCAAAAAATGAACTGTATCCGTATCCTCATATGCAGATACTCACAGATATAAAACTGATATCCGCAGGTTTGTAGGGCTCTACCAGTCTGGGCAGTGACCACCAGTAACTAGTCAGACTACGATTAGAATTAATATATGCAAATACACCAGCTTTCCGCTTTTATCGTGTCCTCCTGTCCTCTTCTTTCAACCCATTAATTCCCTCCCCTGATTTGTCACTTTATTCACCTGTATTATATTATCTAAATCCTAGATATTGAACTAATTACTGCAGAAACAGTCTTTGTGTTATTTGTTTGTATAGTGCCTCGTACAATATGGCTCTGATCCCTGACTGGAATCCTTACATGCTAGCTCAACAGAAAGCATAAATAATAACTCATATTTGTAAATAATAATACTTTGAAAATATAGAATATTCAGAGGCCTTAAATGGCTGCACAAATGTGTGTATGTAGAAAGTCTTTCTATGAGAAATGAAGAAACTGAAACAGAAAGGTTTTTGATGTGCCCCATGTCACACAATGAATCCAAGGCACAGTGAACTTAGAATTCTTAGGGCAGTTCCCCAGTTTGTGTAAACTGTCATAGCCCCAAGGAGTGAGGGGCAGGGATAACCTAGCTCTCTGGACTATGACAATGTATACAAGCTGAGGATTTGCTTTATCATCTCAAGTCCCCGCCAGTGCTCTAGTCACTAGACCATGTCGCCTCCCTAAAACATGCACACTTAGTATCTTTCATGTAAGTAACATCATGAGCTCATTTCTGCAGCATGTTTCTTTTTCAGTTTTTGGCTATAAGAATGTTTTAGACTCCCAATACACAGATGTTGCTTGAGTTCCTTCTTCTGAAGTAGGGCTCACAGAATCATTGTGACTTCTCATGTTTGATGTGGAAGCTTTCGCTGGCATTAGGTACCGTAGATTCTTCCAAAATCTGGAATTCAAAGGAAGAGACTTATCCTCTTTCCACTTTACAACTCTCCTGGATGGTAGAAGCTCCAGTGATTTTGGCAGGAAATTATAATCACTTATAAGCATGTATTCAATTAATATTATTTTAATTTTCCTTTCAACTAGTGCCTTATGCAGTCCAGTCTCAAGTTCATACATGACTCTGTCTGAAATGTAGTTCCGGCTCAGTATAATGATTAATCTTCTGCTTTTGTCAATAAATGAATGGACATCATCAACAACAGCTGTAAATTAAAGATACAGACTTTAAGAAAATCAGTGAAATGTATAGACATTAACTCAAGACATCTTTTAGTCATATTTTGACACATTTCAAAGTGACTAAATTACGGTGTGTTTTGTTTCTTCCTAGTCTATCCCACTACTGAGTAACGTGAAAAAAAGGAAAAGATTTAAAAAAAAAATCTCAGATATTAAATTGTGAGCAGTTTATGCAAAATGGCAATGCAATCCTAATTTACCTATAGCCAGCATACATTAATTTCTCGTTGGAAAGCAACTACAAACCAACATATCAGCTCTGTCTGTTCCTTTTTTAAACAGATGAAGGTCCACCCTGAGAATCAGAGTACTTCCACAGTAAGTCATCAGCCATGCACCGTTAATCACCCCCATAACATTCAGTAATCTTTTAACCCTCATTTTACTACTTTTTGGTACGACCAGACACTCACACCTTCAATAGTATCAGTACCACAGATAACCAAGTGTGGGTAATATTAGCACTCTCTCTAACAGTATGTGTTACTGTGGAACAGGGCCGGCTCGAGCTATTCCTGTGCCCCGGGCAGCGGGCGTACAGCGCACATGCGGCCCCGCCCCCCCCAGCGCACTACACATCTTACAGCTGCCATCACATGCCATCCATAGTTTGGCGCCCTGGGCAGCTGTCCGGCTAGCCCCCCTCTTAATACAGCCCTGCTGTGGAATGACATCTAGCAAACCATTAGGAAAAACCATAGGAACCATAGGAAAAACTTAAACAACAACAATAGACTAGTAGCACCTATTGTTGTTCTTTAAGTTTTTCCTGTTATAGACTAACTCGGCTGCCTCTCTGAAGCATTATTTTGCAGGTTTTCAAAACCTGATATTTTTTAAAAACAGGGACTGCAGAAATATTTATTTAAAAATAGTGAATGAAATTAAATCGGGAATCCCTATATCCTGCAAATAACCTGTAACAATATACTCATGCACAGCCAAAACTTTACAGAAACATTTTTCCCCTATAAGACCTCAGAGCAACATGAAATCACACTGTGCTGTCTGAGATTTGAAACCTTTGTAAAGGGTCATCTATTTATAAAATCTTGCAATATTCAAAATGTCATGTTATCACATTTATCTTATTAAGGTATTTCTGCTGCACTCATCACATAGGTGTCCACTATAACTCAGTCAATTTTAATAAAAGCTTCTACATACTAAAAATTACAAAGATAATTAATATTGTGTGCTATAGAAAAATGTTTTTATAGCAGAGATACAGCAAAAATAGTTGCATTATAAAGCCAAGCTTAATTTTCAAATCATTAGCTCTCTCAGGTTTCTGAGAAGCATTAAGCAGAAAGCTTTCCCGAAATGAAGAAAGACATACGCAGTATTTTCACACCCATTCTGTGGTAACACCTAAGGTAGCTTGTTTTCAAATGCTGAAGATTAATTCAGAAGATTAACTAGATAAAGGACAATATTCTACCCTGCACAGATTATTCTTGGTTAGGGGGCAGGGCAACATATTTTTGCTGACAGAATTTTATGGTCTTTGTTCCATCAAGGTTCAAAATCTGCTCCAACTCCATACGCTGCTGGAAAGAGAAAAGGTACTGGCCTCCTAACATTAGTGTGTCTAATGCAATCTGCGCACATCTTGATGACCATCATGCCAGGCCCTCAAGCAACCTAGGCAGGGAGTAGGGGTATTTATGAAGCTTAAAGAAGCACTGAGGCACAATCTTTATGTCTGACAGCAGACAAGAATATGGCAGAGAGAGCTGCTGTAACCATGCGACACCCTCTTTATTCTTGTCTGAGAACTATGGATGCCCAAGACTGCAATCTGCGCACATCTTGATGACCATCATGCCAGGCCCTCAAGCAACCTAGGCAGGGAGTAGGGGTATTTATGAAGCTTAAAGAAGCACTGAGGCACAATCTTTATGTCTGACAGCAGACAAGAATATGGCAGAGAGAGCTGCTGTAACCATGCGACACCCTCTTTATTCTTGTCTGAGAACTATGGATGCCCAAGAC